CTCTTTCCTGCCCTTATGAATTTGTTCCACACAGACACATCTGCAAAAGAAAAACTATCATCTTATTTTTCACTTTCTAATGGGGTCTTACTATAGCACCAGCCCTTTGTCCTGGGATCCCAAATTCTGCACCTGTACTTCTACAATGAGGCATAAGTGCTTACCTCTTTCGTTCAGGCTGCCTGCTCCTTTCTGAGAGTTTGAGCTCTGCTGCTCTTCTTCCATGAAACCCTTGTGCACCTTTCCTCTGGCTGTTGCTTGTTCTTGGCTACTTAGACCCCGTAGCCGCTGTGACACCAGTGTGCTTCTGCCCCTCTTCCTCAGGCTCACAGCCTCTTTCTTGGACTCCGCACACCGTGTATGCGGTTCTAGCAAGGCAGATCTACCTCTCTCTCTGGGACCTTGCAGTTTTGGTTTCCTCAAAGATGTCCCGACTTTCTTGCTCAAGCACCTCTTTCCTTTCTCCTGTGTCCCTGGTGTTCTTGATTCCATTAAAGAAGACCCGTCTAACTTCCCTGGCATATCTACCTCCTCCTGAGGTTTTGGTTCAGACAAGGATTTCCGAGTTCCCAAATTCTTCTTAAGATCTGCTATTTGCATCTTGCGTATTGTTATGGAGTCAGTGCTTTTTATTTCTGCACATGTGCCCTTTTTGGGTTGCAGCACCTCTGGTTCCGGCAAACAGGAAATGTCATGTCTCTCTGTGCTCTCAAGTTCCTCCTCTGAGGATGGGATTTGTAATTTTACTTCCATAAAGGAATATTTGCCTTTTTTTCCTGAGCTTCCTGAACTCTCCAGGAAACCTGAGAGGTTCAGTCCCTCAGAGCTATATTCTTTCCTTTTGATCCCTGCTAAGAATTTATTTTGCGAAGTAGTTCCTGAGAAAAATAGCTGTTGACCTTGTCCTATCCCTTTCCCGACAGTCTCTTCCCAGCACGCTGCTGCAGCCATGGTTGCTGGCTGCCAATCTTTGCATACAGCAGTGTCTGAGACTGGCACAGCTACACTCTCCATGCTTCTGGCAGCCCTCCTGCACTGTATCCCTTTGGTTTTTTCACTTGAGAGTCTCTGGCTACTCTCACCTTGCTCCTTCTGCACGCAGCCAAGAGAAGCAAACTGCTCACAGGAAACGCTGGAGAGCATGGTCGGTTGCAGACAGGAAGACAAGGGCTGCTCAGGTTTTGTCTTTGGTGCCAGATGAGGACTCTGCCTGACTACCAGCTTCTTCCCTGGCTCACGTCCTACCCCTGCACCCAGAGGGCTTGGGCTGGTGACCACCCTGTTAGGCCCTTTCACCTCACTGACAGTTATTGCTTTCCCTGAGCTTAACTGTGGCATCGTAGGGACCTAGAGACAACCACAAAATCCACAAAACCCACCCATGGCTGCACCCTGAACAGCACTCCAGCTAGCCCAGCACCCACGGTGGGCGCAGGCCCGACCAGGAAGGGAGCACAGCCTCCCTCAGGCTACGGTCTCAGGCGGGAGCGAGTCCAGCCTGACAGAAATGCCAGGCCACCTGGGCAAAGCCCGCGACCACCAGCAAGCCTCCA